CTCATTATTTGGTGAGCAGGATTTTCGGGACCAAATACTACTAATGATACAGAGGGAATTGACGGTTGCTCTGGTTGGGAATGCCTGGTGGGACAAATTAAGATCTAAAATTAGAACGTTTGCTACCGATATTAGTCGACTCAATCTAGATAGATTACCTGCGCAAAAGGTAGATCGGGCAATTAAATCCCGTGATAGTGGGGAAACAGCTTTAGCTAAGGCAGAGTTGGCCTCCTTACTTATCAAGAAGGATCAAGCTCTAATAGTTAGGACTAAGTTAAAAAGAATGTCCTCAGAGGCGACGAATATGGCCGCTGAATTGCGTGCAGAGGAAAGTAGGAATGCGTCTCAGCGGCATATCGCGTGCATCACATTTCTGGATAAGTGGACCAGTGACTACAAATGCGGGCATATGTGAGGCTTTTCGGGATTACATTCAGAAACTTTTTTCCAGGAAGCCCGGTCTGAGCCCTGCTCAGTGCGACGCTTATTTAGCTGACTTTCCCTGCCTTGAGGCAGCTGAAGCAGCTGAATGCGAGGGTCCTATCACAGAATCGGAAATCTGGGAAGCGCTGAAGCAGGTTGACCTGGATAAATCTCCGAGATTATATGGTCTTCCCTACGAAGTTTACTTGAGGCAGTCGCCCGTTTTTGTTCCATTGCTGGAACTGATTTGCAACAACTGGATGAACCAGGGGTCTATACCTCAAAGCTTCACCAGGGGTGTGATCAAGTTGCTACGCAAACACAAGAACGGCGAAGATGGATTACATAACTTTCGCCCTTTAACCTTGTTAAACACAGAGTTAAAGATTTTCGCAAAGATCTTAGCCAACCGTTTGCAGCTTGTCCTCTCTAGTCCGATTGGCTCCGAATAGACTTATGTTGTGAAGGGCAGAACTATTCAGAACAACCTTCATATGGTCCGCTTGATTATCGAGAAAGTCGAGAGTGAAGCCACGCTGATCCATTTAAATCAGTCCCAGGCCTTCAATAGAATTAACCATCGATTCCTGGAGGCTGTTCTTTTGGCGGCCAGTTTTGGGCCGGACTTTCGCACCTGGATCCGACTTCTGTATCGACTCCCGGTGCACAGGTGGAAGTGAATGGGGTAAGATCGGAACCTTTCGTATTGTCTCGTTCCATTCGTCAAGGTTGTCCGCTTTCGCCTATGCTTTACGTTTTTGCGGCGTATCCGGTCCTACGCGGAATTTCCCTGCCTCGGTTAGGTATTTTGCCTATGCTGATGACGTTTCTGTTCTTGTGTCGATCAGAGCCGAGATTGACGAAGTCAGCAAAGAAATCAGTGGTTATGAGATGATGACAGGGGACAAGATCAACTGCGATAAGTCTTGCGGTTGGGTGCGTGGAAGGGACTTTCTCTTCCCGGACCTTTCTCTGGACGGATAGGCCGGTAAAGATACTCGGCGTCTGGTTCGGTCCTTATATCCAGCTGGATATGAATTGGTCGGAGGTACAAAGGAAGGTTGAGATGGCAGTTAATCTGTGGTCTCGGAGGAATCTGACCTTGAAAGGGAAGGCGGAAGTATGTTTTTCTCGCATCTATCCGATTCTCCTTTACTGACTCACTGTACTTCCACTTCCGTATGCCACACTAATGTCATTAGTAAGACTCTTGTTCTCCTTCTTGTGGGGAGGTAAGGCCGCTAGAGTATCTCAGAAAATCTGTTGCCTTCATCCATCTGAAGGCGGTCTTTTTATGCCTAGCATTGAGATTCGTCAATATATGCTTCGCATCGGCTTCCTAGATCGAATGTGCTGAAAGTCGGATGAGGAGGGCGCTTTCTGGTAAGAACTTCCCATTCCTGTGAAGTATGCACTCGTGTGAGGAGGCCGGCCGTTTACCCCGGTCCGAATGCTCCTTTTATTGTGAATGTCGTCTTGCTCTGAAACGCCTCTTATGGGCGTCGGATGGGCTCTCCAACGTCCAGGCGTTGTCTCGAAGGGCATTATATCAGGTGTTAGTTAGGGGTCCGTTCATGATGAGCTGATTAACGAGCTATTTTTTTACGAAGCAGGCTCTTTTGATTCGTAAATATGGTCGTCAAAAGACTTTGTTCAGCGGGATTTGGAGAAATCTAAGAAACTGCCGACGCAAAAATTTGAGGAAGTTCCACCCTGGGTCACGTCTTCTTTCATTGCAGGGTAGTAGCGTTAATTTTAGCAAGTTTGTTGAAGGTCTCATGGTTCACATGCTGCAGGGAAAGTTCTTTGTCCTTGATAGCCTCTTCGCCTTTTTTGTAGCAATGTGGCACCGCCGTTGACGAAGGTGAACAATATGTGTTCTTTTTGCTTATTGGGTGTTATGAGAGTCGTTTTGGACGACACGTCAGAAGGGTTTCTATGGAGGCGTTAAGAATTTTTCACTTCTTCCCAATTGATCCTGTACTTTAAGCATCAGCTTAAAGTCAAGATTAGGACGGAAAAGTGGCGGCTCACTTCATCAGAATTTGTCAAAAGGTGGGTGAATCTTGCGTGATTGTGTCGAGTGAAAGGGGCTGACCTGGAGTGACACTTTGATACCGATTAGGCATCAATATATTATTCTTCCTGGGGCTAACATAGACAACTCATCCCTTTAGTTTAGGTTTGTTTTTGAATCTGTAGAATCAGATTCCTACATTTTTTTAAATCTTAAATTTTGTGCAAGTTAAACACATAGAGGCTCCCAGCCAAATATAACAACTGATGTATTTTGATTGGTTGTAAAATATTAATTAGCTGGCGTCAACTACGTCCGAAGGTACCGACCCAAATTTTGACCTCTAGTTGACGCCATAAAATGTAAACACGTTTACGAGCCTCCCCACGTGACCAAGAGAACTAATAAAAACGAAACTTCGACGCGACTTGGTCAGTGGGCACTTAAAATATTGAAACCAATTCACTTGACTTCATTGGAAATCAACACAGCAAAGGAGACGAGCTTTATCTTCAATACAACAACAAACCTTGTCAACCATTTCCAGGCTTAACGCTCACTCCCACAAAATATTCTATTCCACAAGAAGAATCTCTGGTTAATGAGCGATAACAATCAGTGAGTCAAGAACTTTTTCTATTTAATACACAAAAAAAAACATCTGTTTAATTTTCCTACAAAAACAAATATAGCTAACTAAACCTTGTCATTTTCATACACACACAGTACAGTAGCTCAAATTCTTTTCAGTAAACACACACCAAAGAACTCTATTGTGTTTATCAACTTTTTGCACTATATATTATGTATTTGTTGTGTTTATAAAAAATATTTATTGTTGAACAAAATTCACATTTTCTTCTACTTGATTATTTCTCTTGTTGTTGTCTTTGTTACATTTGATATTGTAAAAATTGTAGAGGGTCAGTTTTTATTTCTATTTATAACCAATACAAATTGGCTGACCCACTATCAATCTTTTTTTTTTTTTTTTCATGTAACTTAGCTATTTGCACGCTCATTGGCCCCCTTTATTTCTGTCCCTATTTTTCTTTAGTTTAATTCCCCATCCCCTCCGTCTTTAGGTGGTCAGTGATAATTAAATGTGTTGATGATTTACGTTAATTCGATTTCACTCTACAGATGGTTGCAGTGAATAACAATCTTTTACAAAGTCCTTTGATGAGGTATATTTCGTCACGAATGATTGTAAATATACGATTCCTGGAAATATAAGCGTTTTAAAAGTTATTCTACTTGTATCTTAAAATTTGAAGTGAAATTAATCGGACAGTAACGAAAAAAAAAAGCAAATAAATAATATCTCTCTCCAGAGTTTGTGTTACTTGCTGTTTGTTCGTAGTTATAGACATTTTATTGTATGATACTGTGCTGATGGCAGATTCTGAAGGAATACTGAAAGTTGAGGAAAGCAAGACCAAAAGATCAACCTTAATAAGAAGATAAAATTCATGGTGAGAAGCAAAAGGGACAAGTCAAGATCTGAGTTACACATCGGGAAAGTCAAAATCAAACAATTTCGGAAATTCATCTATCTGTTAATCGACAAAATGTTACGCAGAGAATAAGAACTACAAAATGAACATCAAAAAATGACAGCTGAAATTCTTGGGACACATAATGAAGGAAGAAGACTTAGTGAATTTAACATTCACAGGATACATCAAAGGCAAGATAATCTGAGAACAGCTCGTAACTTATTTTTTGTGTGTAAATGGAGAAACGAGAAAGTGACAAATCGTAAAGAAAAATTAAAATAAAAGTATTGGCGAGAAGTAGAAAGCAAACTGAGAGTCATGATCGTCTACGATCACCATAAAGGAGAGGTTTATCATCTCATGTAATTTATTCTAATGTTTGTGCTTTATCGAATTTTACTTATCAATTTGATGTTATAAACAAACACAGTTACTGTCAGAGGAGATAGCCTGTGTGTTCGTACGTGTGTGTAAAATTGAATGAATAGGAAGAAAATATGTTTTATTTACTTTACTTTCTAAAATAAAAACAAAGTAGTGTAAAAGTTTGTTAAAGTAGAAAAACTAGTAAATTGACTTTTTACTTTCTTCAAAGAAAAAAAGTACTATGACACTGACACATTTGTAAATTATTTTCTCCCCTCGACAACTGGTACATCGTTTGTGTGAGTATGCTTATCCCGTCCTAAACAAGGAGGGGGACATAACCGTACATAACGATTCTGTTCAATAAATTCCTTATTCTCTTACCTGTGACAATACGGAAGAAGAGTTGTGGATCAAAAGTCGTTACCGATCACGAAAGCTAAAGTACGCTCAACGTTTCTGCTTTTGTATTGTTTTGTTTTTTCTTTTTGCAAATTACACATTTGTGACGGTGCTACAAATTGTAAAGACAACTTATCAGTTGCCTATACCACAGCGACGATACACCTGTAGCAGCTTGAGAGCCTGAAACACTTTCCAACAATAACATTATTGTTACACGAATCGGTTACAAAAACGCACTTGTAAAGCTAAAGGTTAAGAAAAAAAACAATAAAAACACTATGGCTTCAATGTCCCAGGGCCAAAAGACATGGGCATTTATTTCAATATTTTTATGCTTTGTGTCTTTTGGATTGATTTGTACATCGATTGGGACCAGTGAATGGTTTCAAACGACCCAAAATACAACAAACTATACGGTTGTCACAGATATAGGACTCTGGAAAATATGTGTAAGTGAGATTAAACAAGGTAGGCAACAATTTTTTCCTTTATTTTTATTTTTTACTCATAAATTTCAAAGTTAATTTTTTTTTTTTCGAGCAATCTTCGAAGAATGCAATAGTTGTCATTTTATCATCCCCACCCACCGAAGTAAAACAATAATGCGACATAAAGGCAAAAAGGAAATAGAAATAGCTTCTTTTTTTTCCGATTTTTTTTTGTGTTGTTTTTGTTTGCTTTTTTTGGACGTTTAAAAAATTAATACGAGTTTGAAAAGTCTGCAGGCTAGTTTGTAAAAAGAGTGAGAATTGACATGAATTAAGAATTAAGTTATGAACATTTTTAAAATACTCAAACAGAACTCATTTAGGAAGGAGAAATAATTTTTATGTTGTTTTTTTGTTATCCGGCAGCTTGGGATCATACAAATATTTGTTATGGGGAAGTGGTACAGTTACATTTCTTAAAACATCTAAAAAGAATATGTGTAAAAAAAGCAAAGTCCTTGAAGTGTTGAGGGGAATACAAAAAGTTTACTAATCTAGTTCATCAGTATATTTTTTAAAAGTACTAAGTAGTTTATAGAGGAAAACGAAAACACGAAATGTGCGCATTATTCGAATCAAAAGAACAACTAAATTAATTTAAAACATTTCTATCGTGAAAGCCATTACAAATTAACAAATATAAAAACGAAATGTTTTCATTTTTAGAGGATGCTTAATTAAAACTCGCACTGCCAGCCACTGTTCTTTCGTGTTCGTGTGCTAAACGCTACTTAGAGATGTCTATCGAGGACACTCCTAGATTTCTTGTTTAATGAATGTCTACAAACGTAACAATAATGAATAATAACAGCCACTACAATCCACCGAATGGAATGAATAAATACAAGTTAAGTAGAACTGTTAAACGAAAGTTGACAGCAAAATAATCTACTACCTATATTTTTTAAACGGGATAATGAAAAATATTTTCTTTTAATAATCCCTACATGTGGAAAATAGCTGAGTTTTTTAAATGCCAAAAACTGAAAAAAGAATTCAACAAAATACACCCTTCCATTATTCTCTCTTGAGAACTTTAAGCACACGAAATCACATCAGTGTTGTTAAGTATCGAAGTCGACAAGTCCCTATTGAATTTTTATTTTAAAAGAAATAAAATAATTAAATGAAAACAATTGTTACACTCATTCTGCAGTCCCCTTATTTTTTTAAAAACATTTTTGAGGCCATTTTATTTCATTTTAATTTTTTTTAGTAATAATTTTGTGATTGAAGGAAAAGTAGGTAGTATTTTTTAAGTCACTGATTTAAAATTAAAATACTGCGTGAACTTATTTGAGACTGAGAGGTAACAAACGAAAAGAAATTAAGTAAAGTCTCATCTTGTTTTATCATGTGATCTTGGATAGGGGACAATGGCTTGTTCTTAAACGAATTATCTAGTCTACGCTTGATTTTTATTGTCTATTTTTGGACAAAGCTCCCTCGGAAAAAAAAACTCAATTAAAACTTAAACTAAAAGACATTGTTAAATTGTTAAAACTAGTGACAGTTAGTTATTGGTATTATTATATTCCTTACCTTACTTAAAGAAAAGCGTATTTAAAACCACATATTTTCTAGGTACACAAAAATTGTTTATAGAATTTAATTTTGTAAAAGAAATACCGGGGGCTGATGTTGCGGGTGGGGTGGTAGTCTACAATTTAGCGTCGGAAACGATTTTTTTAACGTACCAAATACTGAATTACTTTCCTTACGTTGTTTTTAACTTCATGTGCACACATTTTCTCCCTAATGAATTTAACCTCGGAAGACGTAATATTTGTAGACTCTAGTCTAAACCTCATATTTTAAGTACATGTGTGACCAATATTTACAAACTTTAAGTTATATTGGCAATGAATATAACTTAGAATTTGTAAATAAATTTAAAAAAAAAATAAAGATCAGAGTAAATAAGCGTACCGGATATATCCGCCTCGACAGTCAAGAGAAACATCTGGAAATAAAGCCGGTTTGTGCGCATAAGACCGTTATGCAAACCATTTTTTTTTTTTACCTGCACACCCTAAGGCAGGATGTGACCCAATATATATTTTGTGGGGTGCCCATTCACATGTATACACGGGCCAAGGGCAAAAATTGCCCAGGCACGCGTCGATACACCGACCACAATTCTCAGGAGCTGCTGCAGGGTTTGAATCCCCTAGACCGGGCGCCTTCTCTCGTGTCAAATTTCCCTCTTAAAACAAAAAAGCTTTATTTGAAATTTGCTACAATTCCAAATTACATCACTAAAAGAGAAGTTGTGACATTTTTTTTTAAGATTCATCTCTAGGCGATGATGGTTCTTCACAAATTTCTTTTAGTTTTCTTTATTATCCTTAAATTAATTGACATGACAGTTAGTGTTGTATTACCTAGTTATCCCCTTAATAGAACTCTCCGAAAGTAGAAGCAATTAGCTCCCTTAGTCACTAGCAGTACTAACTCGCTCTTTTTACTGTTGTCCGTAAATCCGTGTCTCGCTCGTCATCTTGTCTCTGTGTCATGATGGAACCCCAGAAAACGAATCATGGTGTCAGAAGAAAAGGATTAAAAAAAAAAATCTGAACATGGACCCCATACAACAGGGTTCGTTTTAAACAACAAAAAAAGAAGCTCCTCGTCTACTGAAATTAACATACTTTTTTAAACAATATCATGTGTGTCTACTGCCATTAAGGTAAGATTCTTCAGATTTCTTGTTGAACTATGGCAAACTGTCATGCCCCACCACCAAGTATTGACGGTACTAACTCCAACCTGGGGAAGGAAATGGACAAATTTGCACGAAAAGCGATGTTACATTTCAATGGGCCACTCTGCGACGCTAGTGACAACATAAAAATTAACAACCTATTAATTTGGGCAGGGGATGAAGGCCAGGAAATAAATGAAACGTTTGTTTTTCAGTGAGACAAGGGGAGAACTGTGGAAAGCTATATAAACAAATTTAAAGCTTTCGTGAAGCCCAGGTCAAACTTTTGAGTCTTCCGACACTAATGAGATACCGACAAGAGCCTAACAAGATGGCGCATGCCTGCCTAAAAAGGCTCCAGCAATAGATAAAGCTATGTGAATATGAACATGAATTTGACAGGACCATGCTGGTGGATCTCTTTATATGCAAAATAAACCTCAAATCAACACAAAAAGCCCTATTAAAAGAAGAAAGGGATTTAATGATTGTATCAGATTTAAAAGTAGTGGAAACGGACGAAGCTACAATCAGACAACGAGAAGCTATTTGTGCCCTGGCTAGAAACAACGACCATACATGCGATTAAATACAAAGGCACAAGGAAATGCAGACACAGTGGAATGGACCATGAGGTGGGACAATGTCCAGCAAAGGGTGCATGAAGTGCAAGAAAATTGGCCACTTCGCACATGCATGCCTCTCAAGGAAAAAAAGAACAGAAACGTGGATAAATAATAAGTTTCCACAATGCCAAAAGAAAAACAAGAGGTGTCAGAATGTACATATGGCAGTACAAGAGAACAGCAGTGGTGACAAATACACCAATGACATGTATTTCCATGTGGTGGAAACAAAAGACACACACAGAGGAGAGCGACCTAATAATGCAAAAGAGGCATATGTAAAACTGACAGTGGGAAACAAGACAAAACAGGTGTAAGTAAATGCCAAAATTGATACTGGAGCCATGAACAACCTACTACCACTCAAGGCATTCAAAAAAACTACAGGGTGTGCCACTAGAAAAGACTACAGTACGTCTATTTGCATTTGGGGGTACTGCAATAAAACAAGCAGGTGCATGTCTCCTGGGAGTGAGACACAGAGACACATTCACCAGTGCCACATTCCATGTGGTGAAGACAAACGAACCAATGCTGATAGGGTTACAGACGTCCAGAAAACTAGGTTTGGTAACATTCTACCTAGTAGTACAAAAGGACGTCCCTAATATAGCGGAATGTGGGAAAGTTTTGAAAGACCGAATAGTAAAAAGCAGCAGAACTACCACCCAAACAAAACCTCAACACACAGGTCCTAAAAGAATTCCCTGGCGTATTTGATGGGATAGGATGCCTACCAGGGGAATATACATAGACCCCAGAATACCACCAATTGTCCACCCATCACGTAGACTCCCAGTGTCACTGAGAGACAAATTCAAAGCTGAATTGGACTCTCTTAAGAAGCAGGGCATCATATCGTCCATCACAAAATCCACCCCATGAGTAAACTCATTTGTATGTGTCTCTAAGGCGAACGGATCAGTTAGGTTATGCCTAGGCCAGAAAGACTTAAACAAAGCCATACAAAGACCATACATTGTAACATCCACATTCGGGGATGTAGTCTCCAGACTACATGGGGCTAAGTGGTTTACAACCATTGACGTAAAATCCGGATATTGGCAGATGAAGCTAGATCAACAAAGGAAATGACGAACTTTATTACACCATTTGGATGATTTTTCTTCAGATTTCCAATGGGCATAAAATACACCCTAGATGAATACCAAAGAGCAAATTTAGAAACTTTTGGCGACATCAAGAACATTTTATCGATATCGGGCGATACCACTGTGTATGAGTTTGAGGAAGTTGGTAGTGACCATGACGCCGCACTCAACGAACTTATCGAAAGAGCTAGGGAAATATAAGTTAGTGCATCCCTGATAAACTGACGGTATGGGCGTCTGAAATACCCTTCTTTGGGCATATAATATCAAAAGATGGTATAAAACCAGATCCCAAGAAGGTCGAGGCAGTTACACACCTGAATCCTCCGGTAGATAAAACAGCTAGCAAGTTTTCTGGGGTTAGTAAACCACCTCAATAAATTTTCCCCCACAACTAGCAAGACTCACTAAGCCACGATGGGAGCTAATGCCCAAAGACATCGAGTTCACTTGGACTCCTCAACAGAAAGAATCTTTTGAGAGCATCAAAAAGGAGATTAGCGAAACGACAGTGTTAAGCTAACATAGGTTTCAATCC